AGGCTTGTTTGTTTTCATCTCTTTAAAATACTTTTTTGGTTTTGTTTGGTACACTCTTTAAAATATTATTCTAGTTTTTCTAATAAAGTTAAACAGAAAATCAACATTTATTTTAATATTCTCAAAATTATATTTTACTTTTTCATCAAACAAAACATTAATAATTATCTTTCTCGTAAAGATAACTCAATTTTACTTTTTTTTTTTTTCAAAATACTATTATAAAAATCATTCAATAATGAACCAAATAAGGCCAAAATTTTCTTCCGTTTTATTCATTCAGTGCTAATCAGTTGTGAGTACTATAGACAAGTTACCAAACGGTCACCTTAAATAAAAATATTGTTAGATGTATTGATTGCAAAAAGAAAAAAATAAATGCAAACTCATAACAAAAGCAGAAGCCGAAATAGGTAATAGAATTAGGTTAATTAGGGCCAAAGCATAATTACTTTTAATTAATTAAAAAAGTAGACTGTAACAGTAACGTGATGTCTCATAAAAGCAAAAGTCTCTGAATTTCTTCAGCCTTAGTTGAAAGCTTGCTTTGATTTAAACTTTAAAGGTCTAATTTCTAAATTGGTATTTAAAAAAAAAATAATAATAATAATTTACATTAAAACAATCACGTGCTAATATTTTACTTCGAAACACATGTGAAGGTACAACTACAAGCAACGGTCAACAGATGCTTCAAAGCCTGCATTTCTTTTGTAAAGTCTATCTGCAATTATTCTCCTTTATCTATTTTATATTATTTAAAATTTTAAATCGCTCTATCACGTGAAGAACCTTCTGTTAATCTTTGCAATTAATATTTTAAAATTTATAAATCTTTTATTTAATACGCATGAGATTTTTGTTCGTTATAATACTTAATTAACCCTACTTAATTTGCATAAGCAATTAATAAAAATAGGCAACAACCCAAATGAAACTTAAAATTATTTTTAATTAGTTTTATGTTAATTATTTTTTTAATTAATGTAATAATATTTGGTCATGATTATTCCTTCACATGTTGAATTTAATAGTGAATGGAGGATTGAGTATGATCAATGATACTATAGAGATAATATATAATATTGTTGTATACTAGACAACAACTCCTAAAGTAATCAAGAATTTTATTCAATAGTATATATAATTGTTCTATCTATCGTCTCTAAAGTGTTTGTTAATTTAGAAGATATTTCTATATATATGTTCTCATAATTGATTTCTTATGAAATTCCCCCGTTAATATAAATTTTTCACCATTGGCTATTGAAAAAAATTCTTTTAATCATCTAAAAAATATTCATATTGATATAAAGAAGAACTTATAGGATTTTTTACCTTAAATTAATGACTTAAATAGTCAAATATTTAATGTTCAGAAACTCGGACCGGACTATGACCCGTTCAAGGGTTCGATTTCCGATTTGACCGGTTGGATCGGTCGATTGGACCATATTCTATACAATTTTTTTAGTCCCTGAATGTTTGAAATTTATCAAAAACACACCTGTCGTGCGAAGGGAATGGTGATGGTGGCGGCAACGACGATCGACGGCCAATCGAGGTTTGGAATTATGGGGCTTTTGATGTATAGGTGCCGGTGAATCTGATGGTGGTATTAGGGAGTTCCATCGGCGCCGGAATCAACAAAAGAAGTCTGACAGTCGCGTGAACTTTAGGTGGACGGCGAGCGACGAAGGCGACTGAAAATGGCTGGGTTTTGTTGTGGAGATGCTATCAAGTCTAATGGTAGTGTTTTCTCCGTTGAACGATGCTGAAATCCGACGGGATTGAGCTGCAATTGGATAGTGATTCGACATTATTCCGACGGTCCAACCGTGGTCCAATCAGGTTTGAATGTAATTAACTGTTTTTAAAAGATTTCGAACCGGATATGTCGTCGGTTACCGGTTGAACCTATCCGATCAAACGATCCGGTCTGATTTTCAGAACATTGTAAATATTAATATATTAGTCTATACGGAAGTAAGAAAAAAAAAAAAAAAATTGTTTGTGGTTTAAAAATTCCATGGAATGTCAATGAAAAATCGGGTAAGTTGGAAGGAAGAAAGCCAAACACCGAACAAGCTAAAAGCAATTGTGAAGTGCTTTTCCAATTCATCACGTCTTACGCTTGCCCATTAATGTGGCAAAGCCTTTTCGAATTATTATTGTTATTCAACTACCAATTTAAGCCTTCGGCTTTGTGTCATTATCTCGAGGCTGTTGACACCAAACTTTGTCAATTACTTTGATTTGATTTTAATATTTTCTGTCACCAAATCCATCCAAAATTCCAAGTCATCTTTATCTTTTATTCAATTATTAATCTTGAATTTTTGGAATTTTTAGTGCTAAAGTCCAATGAAATATTACTGCCCAACTTAATTAGACTTTTAAAAATTCATCCCCCCTCACAGAAAATTATATAATCATTATCTAATACAAACATTTTAGTCCGTTTTCATCGAAGACTAATCATTTTTACATTCAAGAATTGTAACAATACAATTGATAGAAAATACATCTTGAATAAATAGTTGATAGTTTTGGTCATCAACCATTTTTACGTTCAGGAATTATAACAATACTAAAAGGGTAAACCGCTTAGCCAAATTTCAAGCCATTTGTCCAAAATTGCCCATTGTTGGACCAAAGCTTCTAACCAGTTACAGATTCAGAAATTTCTGTTAGGGTGGACCAAAATAAAAACTAATTATACATTAATATTTTTGTAAAGGTAGACCAAAATTTAGAAATTATACATATTAGTATTTAAAAAAAAAAATTGAGGACGGGCCATAGGCTGGATCTGCCCCTGCTTCTAACCATTGGGTCTAAAAAATATTAATCGTTTATTCAAAATATATTTCCAACCTCTTAAAACTGTTATATTTAACTAACAAAAATGACATTTAGGGATGACAACATTCGTTCTCCGAATTGGGGGAACGTTTTTGTGCAAGACCTAAGAGGTGACACTAATGAACCCCAAGATGTAATTTAAGTTTAGGAGGATAATTGTGATTAATTAATTAAGTTGGGTAACAAAAGCAATTAAAATTAAAATTAGGCATATGCATCAATAATAACACATCATTTTGGTGGGACACCATTTTCTGTCGCCCAAGCAAATGGTATGATTAGACCTTTCTTTGCTCTCCTCTTTTTATAATTAACTCAACTTAACATCCTTAATTAATATTCACTTCATTAATTACTTACCCGCCGAAATTAATTTTAAATTAATTAAATATTGTAATGATATTTTTTTTTTTTTTTGTTAATTATTTGGTTTGTTTTTGTATGTGAAAGATTGAAGACACTGTCAGTCTGCCTCTTTGGCTCTTGTTAATTCCAGTAATTCTTGTCATGTTTACTTAATTAAGGTTAATAATATTTTATTAGTCTTTAATAAATAAAATTAAAAAAAAAGATTAAATTAATATAATACACGTGGTCGTAATTGCACGCCAAGGAATTTAAGCTGTGTGACGAATGACGATTGACGACCGTCCTCTTCCCCCGCCCACCACCGTCCAACACGCCCACCATTATAAAAGCGTGACACCGTGTCAACTTGCCACGCTTTCAAGATTCCATTTTTCCAAATACCAAAAACACCCTTCCGTCTTTCTCCGAATACCTGTGGTGCCATTAACTCACTGGATTAAAAATCTCCACTGGCAACGGCTACTTGAGAGAGATTTTAGGTACTCAAAAATCTGCCCTCTCTTTAAGCATTTAATTGGACGCCTGACGCCTCCTTAGTTTTTTTTTTTTTTTTTTCTCCAAAAATACCCAATCTCGATTATATAATCCATAATTCAAAACCTCACGTAAATTTGAATTCAAAATACATAATCATTCGATTAATCTCTTATTAATATTTGATGTCAATCACTATTGGATGACTGATGGTAAAAAATTTAAAAAAATTTAAAAAAAATCTTAAACTCTCCTTAGTCAAAGTCCCCCAACCAATAATAGAGTGAACATCGGGGGATTATCGATCGATTTTCATGGTCTCAAAAATTAGTTGAGACCATATTAAAAATTACTAATTAAGATCCCATTAATTAATCCTAAAATTCAGAGATGTACACGAGAATATTAAAAAAAAATTGGTGACAAAGCATGCTGACAAACAAACAGAGTCTAGCAACTAGTCAAAACATCAAAGTTCAGAAAAAAAACCACCTCTTATAAAAACATGTTTGACAAGCTAAACAAAAAGGACAACCTCGTCATTTCAGAGCATCTTAACAGTAACCCTGTTTTAATTTTAAAACTCCAATTTCGGCAATAATAAGTTTTTCAGTAATTACAAAAAAATATCATTTTAAAATTAAAAATTAAATAGAGAATCAAGGGCAGTTTCCTTTCTTTGTTTTTTGTTCATCCACTACACCCATTTTCTCTTTTGACAGTACCAAGACAGCATAAAAAGCAAGCAAAAACAGCAGAGAAAAAAAAAGAGAGAGAAGAAAGTTACATTCAGAGATCTAACCAACATGGGTTGAGGAAAGCCAAAGCACTGAAGCTGTAGTCGAGAACAAACTTTAGTTTTGATTCTACAGTAATTGGTAAATTTTCAGTTACTTGGTTGTTTGTGATTTTTGATTTGTTTCGTTACTTTTTGTGAGTTTCAACGTTCATCTAGTGGTTTTAATTGTTTGTAAGCTATTAAAAAATGTGTGAATTTATAATTCACTGTGAATTTTCTCTTTTTTCTTTTTGTTGATCAGTTTCTTTGTTTCTTTGTTGATCGTGTATTATGTTGTGTATTTGATGATCAGGTTAATTGTACAGATTTGGAGGGTAGCTTTTACTTTTTTTCGTAGTTGTGTGATAATTGACCTGATTTTATTGGTCAGGTAATTGAGTGATCTTTCATTGTGTTGTTGAGAGTTTGTCTTGGTGTTTTGGCTGATTTGGACACTGAATTTGTGTTGTTTTGCAGGTACAGAAGTGAAGATTGAAACTTTTACTATCTATAAGTTCTTAGGCGGCTCAATTATCTGTTTGTGATCATACATATCCACAAACAGGTTTGGTCCTGTTTATTACCTAATTCGGGTGCTGTTTCGAGGATCACATTTTCGTCTGATCAGAGTTAGAATTGGTTGGGATCATGCAAAGAGTGCGGCGCGGGCGGATTCTAGACGAATGTATTCTTGGTGGTGGGATAGCCACATAAGCCCGAAAAATTCCAAATGGCTTCAGGAGAATCTTACAGGTATTACTTTTTCTTATGGGTTTAATTTGCATTTATCTTGAGATAGATGTCAGCTTAAGTCTTGTAGCTTGAATTTATGGGTATTTAAGTTTTCTTTTCATAATGCCTTATGAAGTTTTTAGTATGAGATAATTTTAAGTTTCATAATTTTTTATAAAGGTTATAGCATGAGATAATTGTACTTTGAGAGAAAAGAAGTCTAAAGATATAAAGTTTTGAATACTCTTGAAACAAGTTGAAAATATAGATGATGGATTATGTTGTCACTAGACTTCAATGCTATGAGTTTGTTATCTTATCCAACTTGTTTGAGAGTAAATATGCTTGTTGACTCTCAGGAAGCTGGCTCTTGATGTAATTCTTTTTGTCTATCAATCCCTGCTTGTGATTTGATATAAAAATTATTCTGCTGCTGAAACAGATATGGATGCCAAAGTCAAACAAATGATCAAGGTTATTGAAGAAGATGCAGATTCCTTCGCAAGGAGGGCAGAAATGTACTTTAAGAAACGGCCTGAGCTTATGAAATTGGTTGAAGAGTTTTACAGGGCATACCGTGCATTGGCTGAAAGATATGATCATGCAACGGGGGCACTCCGCCAGGCTCATCGAACAATGGCAGAAGCATTTCCCAACCAAATCCCATTTGCTATGGGTGATGATGGGGATCCCCGTACACCTGAGATGGGTCCAGCACGTGCATTGGTTGACCCTGATGAGTTGCAAAATGATTCTCTGGGACTCTCTTCATCTCATCTCCTTGCCTTAAAAAGAAATGGAGCATTTACCGATCAATCTGATTCTGTAACAACCAGAAAGGGTTTGAAATAGTTTAATGATTTGTCATAATTCTTAATTGAATTGAATTTAGAGTAGTTGATTTAGGGGGTGTAAATGTAAAAAATTAAAACTGCAGGAATTTTGGGGGTGTAATTGTCATAATTGAAAACTGTTAGGGGTGAAACTGTCAAAACCGAAAGCTGGAGAGAGAAAAAACGGTCCACCCGTGGGTCCACCCATACCCGTATAGGGTAGGGCACGGGTCCAAAATATTGGACCCGTATATATCCACCCGTATAAGACCCGTACCCGTTTTACCCGTACTCGTTTTACCCGGCCCGTACCCAGCCCACCCACCCGTTTTGCCAGGTCTACATGTATGTATGAGCTGGAGCTGCTACTTTCGCCACATTCCACATACGTCCACTTGCTCGATCCTTGACGGAGGGCTGCATTAAGGTCCTAATCCTCTCTCCTGAACGTTCTACTTCCATTGTACCTGTTCTCATATAAAGAAAAAAGGCTATCCAATTTTTGTTTAAAGTTAGTCAAATAAGACATATAATCATGTCCTAAATGCTGGCCTATCTCAGTAATGTCAACTACGTGTAATTTAAACCTAAGATCTAGAACAAGGCCTAATCCATATAAGAATGGAATATCTAACCAACATCTCTCATATTTTTCTTCCATCTTTAAAACAATTACCCTTAAAACGTTATTATATCTATATTTAACAAAAGTTTTAGCAATTTGAAGTAAAATATCTAACACTAAATTAGTAGTTGGATAATAAATACCACTTAATGTATTAGTAGCATCATAAAAAATTTGAAGAAATGAATAAAAAAGTTCACAAACTGCTAATCATCATAGCTGACAACTTCCTCTGGATAGTGCTTCCGGTTGACGAAATCTGTAATTTGTTTCGTGGGTTGCAAAGCTTTTTCAAACATCAAGTAGGTGAGTTCCAACGGATAGGCATGTCTGTACATAACTTCAAAGGTCGAACCGGTGAGTCCTCTTGCTTACAATATTTGATGTACTCTTGCCATCTTTTATTGCTACCGCCGATGATAAATCTGATAGTCGCACGCACCCTCTCTATCTTCGAATGTATAGCATCTAAACCTGCTTTAACTATCAAATAGATGATGTGGCAAGCACATCTCTGGTGAAAAAAATTGCCTTCACCACGCGAATCCAATCTCTTTTCAAATAAAGAGATTGCCGCGGTGTTAGTAGCTGCATTATCAAGCATAAGCACAACTCTATCAGTTAATAAATATTCTTGAAAAACTTCAAGAATTGTAAAATAAATAGTTTTAGCACTATGTTTTTCATATAATGGTTTAAAACCCATCAATTTTTGTTGTAAACCCTAATTATGGTCTAAGAAATGTATTGTGACAGTTAAAAAATATGTTTTTGATCTACAAGCCCATATGTCTGATGTAAGTGCAATAGATATATTCCTAAAATTTTGAAATTCATCTTTAAGTTTATTATTTATTTTGTCATAAAGTTTTAGTATATCTCTTCTACTTGTACTTCTACTAACAGGGGTATATGCTGGACAAAATGCAGTTTTAATCATGTGAATAAAATAAGGATTTTTAAATAAACAAATGGGAGAGTCCGTAGCAACTATGAATCTTGCTATTTCCCCTCGTACAACATATGCATTGTATTGCCATGTTGAAAGAGTTGAGGATTGTGGATTAAAATTAAGTTAAGTTTGAATTTCTCTACCTGATCTGCTTGAAGATGTTTCCGGCAATTGCATTATTTAGGGATGCTTCTTCTTCACCTGTCGTCGTATCGTCGAAGTCCCCTTCTCAACGTCAATATTGGTTCCACAGAAATTACATATCCCACACGATTCTTCCCCCTCCCCATTTGTCTTTGGCTGTTTTGATTTGGTAAAGTGTCGCCATACATCAAACACGACCCTCTTTGACGGTCAAGGGGGTTGGGCTATGCCCGTGCCCGTTGACTCGCAACTCGCATGTGTTTGGCTACACCTCGTCCCGACCGAATGTGGTTGTGGAATTGCAGCTATTTCCTCTGGAGGAAATTGTGAAAATGGATTGAACCCTTCCATTTTTTCAGTGGATAGAACGTAAAACTCATTTGGAGAATCCATTATAAATTTTTGATAAAATAATAAATAATTAAAATTAAAAAAATTAAAAATAATACGAAATTATGAATAAGAGATGATATTGAAAAATAGAAAAAAGAAATTGAATAATATAAATAAATAATATGAATAAATTATAAATATAAATATAAATTGAATGAGAATTTGATTGGAGATTTGGAGTAGAGAGATTGAGAGAATGAGAGATTGATTGGTGTGGAAAAAATGAAAGATTTTAGGGTTATTTATAGTGTAGTTTTTTTTTTTTTTTTTTTTTTTTTTGGGGGGGGGGGGGGGGGGAATGAAAAAAAAAGGTTATGATAAAAATTATATCCATTGGTGGCATGTGACCGTTGGTTGCCAGCAACTATTAGTAAATTTTTTTTTTTTTAATAAATTTTGTAAAATTTTATTTTAATCCTTATAATTTAGTTTATTTTTAAATTTATAGGAGGTTTATATAATATATCAGGGGATAAATTGAAAAAATCTAAAAAATTGGGCCCAAGCCTGGGACCTCCTTAGGCCTTGTCCATTTTGGGACCAGGCCTCCTAGGAATGGTCCTCTCAGGATCGGTCCTAGGACCAAGTTTTTTGGGCTGAGTTTTTGGACCCAGTCTCAATATCCACCTCTAGTTATGATAGCGGCGTTATAATTAGACTATGGGGAATATAAAATTTATTGTGAAATAAAAATAAAGTAATTTATTTCCAGTTACATTGTGATTAAAAGAACCAATAAAACAAAAGTTGGAATTAATTAACTTATTTGTCAATGAATAACACACGCAATATTATTAGACATTCTTACCACATTAACATAATAAGATTGTAAGACCATCTCATATAAGTTTTTATGTTGATTAATTTGTTTAATGAACATCATATATTATGCTCTTGATTATCAAAATTGGTTACGTACCTTTTTTATTCTTTTGGAAAAGAAGAGTAAAGATAGGCTAACAAACACTTCTCATAAACTTCTCTCACTAATGTTAACGTGATAGCTTGTCATTGATCAACTCGTATTTATTCAAACATAACCCATTATGAGCTGATACGTCGCATTTATGAGAAGAATAGTTGTCAAATTTAGTGCCTTAAATATAAGTTTATAAATTAATTTCTCCATAGATATTATATTGATTATTAAATCCTTCAATAATCTATATCATATATATGATGGAGATAAAGTCTTCATTAATTTATAAACAATCAATAATTTATAGTCTATTTTATTAAATTGCACTGCTACTAACTCCTAACTACCATAAGATTACTGAATGTCACGTGTAAAGATTTATCCATGATTTTTCTGCTTTTACGTCTTTTCTTTTAGGTATGCACAATAATCAAATTTTTTTTTTTTTCTTTCTTCTTAATTATTTTACTTAGTATTGACTTGCTAGCTTTCTCCTATAGCTCAAGATTCTATCAAAATTTAATTATTATTGAAGTCTCACATCGACTAGGTACGTTTAAACTTACTAGTTTATAAGAGAAGTAATCCTCCCACTCAATAAAACTTTATTGAGTGAGAAGTCAAATCTACCTCAAATTTTATCATGGAATCAAGGCTAGGACCAGTTGAGCTGATTGGTTAACAAGCAGGTGAAAAGTTAGAGTTAGCAACTACCTTTAGGTATGACCTAACATATGAGTTTAACAGTTAGGAGGTGTTGGAGTCTCCCAACATATGGGTTTGACCGTGAGGGGGAGTATTAGAGTCTCACATCGACTAAATATACACTCAAGCCTACTGGTTTATAAGAGATGATGAGTCAGACCAGATTCTATCAATCATGCACAATATTTACTTGATTGATCTCAATTAATTTTTTTTTTTCTCTTCTCTAGAAAGGGTACAAACTAAAACAGAGAGCTGATTCCTAAAAAAGAACCAACTGTGACGGATGAGGAGCCTATGGCTATTTTATTATGTCAACTATTTATCATCACGCAAACATTTTACTAATTAAATTCAATAATCACAGTGCATAAGATTTCGACTAAAAATTAAACTCTACTTTTAGTTAATTAAGTGGTTCTCAAAATTAAAATTCCTTATCATTTATTTGAATTATAGTTATTTTGATTTATAATTAGAGTAAATAAATCTAAGATGAGGACCGGGGTGATAAAACAAATTAGCTTGTAGGATTCATATCTTGACCTATTTATTCAGTGGTCTCAAAATTGCGAACACAAAACAAGTGACATGAATACAACTCACATAACCCATTTAACAAAGGAATCAAATTTGTGTACTTAAAAGACAACAGAATTAACACATTTAATCTCATGTAATTCCTTTATAACACAAATAACTCATTTAATCAGTATATGACACACTTAAATCTACTTAAGATAATATAAATCACTTTTAACACAAACATGATAATATGTGATCATATATTATCATGTTTTGATAAAATAAACGTGTCTTAAACGAATATTTCTGTTAAAAATGAATAACCATTAAATAAATAAATAAATAATCATGTTGCAAATGTAGTTTACATGTATTTATTTAATTAATTATGTCTCTAAACAGATTTACTAGTTGAGAATCCGTCAACTCAAACATGCCCGACACAAATTCAATTAATTAAAGCCAACCCTAAACCATTTAAATCATTTCAAATTGGCGTTGCGTCAAAAATTGTTACTCGGAAACAAGCAATGGGAATTGTTAATAAATTCTTTAATAGAAAGATTTATATGTCTTTCTTAGAGCTCTCCTTAACAAGAAGTACTATTTATCATATGTTGGAAACATACAAAAATCTGGATTTACAATAGTAAAGCCTCCATCAACAACCAAGTCATGTCCACTCACGTACTTGGACTCATCACTTCCCAAAAAGAGAGCGGCTTCAGCCACATCTTCTGGTTTAAGAATAGCCCCATTAAGATAGCGATAGAAAACAAGCTTTGCCTCATCATCCATTTTGAGGAAAG